AGTCACTGAAAACGAACTCTTCTATTCAATGTTCAATGTACAATACAATGTACATCTTCAACAACTACGTATATGTTTATTGGCGCGAAAAACAAGTAATAAGAATCTGATAATTAAATGAGCTGTCGGAGTTCCTCCTGACTTTGTTCAAGGGATTTGGCAAACTTTATGCAATTCAAGATAGACGTTTGATATTGTTCTATGTACTAATTACCTTTTCCTTGACTGTTGGTCGTAGCAAGCCCATACTTGTTCAGGAGCCCCAGAGGTTTTCTGTCTGATCAAGACTTGGGTTGCACGCTGACCCGTCACAGTTACATGAATGGAATTATGATACCGAGTTGTTGGCTGTTGATTTAGCAAATGAATCCTCGCATTGCCTTGTTCAACATCTTGCTTTGTTTCCGATGCATGATGAGAAAAGGAAATGCTCGACTTTTTCGCACTCATAATCTGCGCTATCCATTCCTAGAAAAAAAGGACAGGCTAATTTTCGGTGGTAGAACAACGATCGATCACTGACCGACATTGCCTTTACTGAGAAAAAGGGGCTGCTCAAAACGTGCCAGCTGGACTTCTGTTCATCAAATTCATCAAAATGAACTTCTTTATTTTGTTCTGAAGGGACTTTATTTTTACTCAATTCGTTTTCATATCATCGTCTACAAATCAAGTTGCGCTATACTTTGCTCAGTATTTGTTGCATATTAAACAGTCAAACAAAAGGTTTGTTATTCTCTTACCTCTTATAAAAAAGAGGGGTGTAAATCGGCTTGAATTTATTGAAAAGACAATGTTGATGTGGATGTTTTCCTCCATATCTGTCTCTCATCCAATGAGGAAGTTTTCTAAACTTTATTTTAATTCACTAACCATTACTAGGTGGGTAATGGGTGACGCAGGAATCCTGTAGAATCATGCAACAGCACACTGAGGTCGGCCCAGCTTGCTGCGATTTTCACCACTGCGGGCGATGGCAGGCGGTTCACTTTATTTGTGACTGTCAATAGTAAACAGAAGAACTTTTGTAAAGACCGCTTCTTTGCCATCTCCTGCAGCGCTTTTTAACTAAGCAAAATTAGGGGAAGATCCTTTCTATAGACACAAAAATTTGCAAGCGCTTTCCTGTCACCTTTTGCCTCCAACGACGCCCCCAACCCACGTTCCTCCTGACAAGCTAATGGCTTTGAAGCCCAAATAGTTCTTTCCTCTTCTAGAGGCGGGTGTGCAGCATGTTGTTGAAAAACATCTACCCAGCTTGAGGATGTCACTTGTTTATAAGAAGGGTCTCCTACACTTAAAAAACTATACAGAACACATTTTTGTGTTCATTTTCAAACTGACGAATAAGAAAGACTGTTGCTTGATATGTTGGAATATGTAGTTTTTCTTTAGAGTGAAGTTTCGAGAAGTGCTGAGGTCCCACAGAGGGTTGGTGAGGTACTTGAAGTCGAGGACGACAATGAAGCAGTAAGCGAATGATATATCTTAGGAATAACATGACGTACAAGC